GCATGAAGTCGGGACACACAACTCTCAATTGCAAGAAGATCCCTTCATCTTCACCCACAGTCACCTCAGTGTTGAGTGATTGGAAGAAGAGAGTGAAGGGAGAGGTTGCACCCGACGATGTACCATCCGGACATCCAACCGAGGAGCCTAAGAAGAAGAAGCAGAGAGCATCGCCTACTCCAGATAGGAAGGTTGACAGCGAGTTCAGGCGAAAAGAAATGTTGAAAGCAAGAGTCGTGACAATGTTCGACCATGACGGGTTCACATTGATTGAAAGTGCCGATGGAGTCGAAGGAGGGACACATTCCTACAATGGGCGGAAGCTTGCGGAAGTAGGCCCTAGGGATATGAGGGTGGTGTACGAATTTGTAGAGAAGGCATTTGTGCACTCCAGTTCCCTCAAACCAAGGGCATGTCATCACTTCTATCCCCTACCGACACGGAGGGAGAAGGGATACAAGCCGATCGACCCCATGACGATGATCGGGAAGGTAGAATTAGTACCGATCAACGGAGTCACTTTCGCTGCACAGAACTCCGACTACGGCAACCACAAGTATCCGACTCCAGACTGTCGAGTACCAGAATACAGCCAAGCGAGCCAGGCCCTGAGTCGTCGATTGGGAGCGAAGTTGAGGCATCGAATTGGACGCCAGTTCAGGACAGGAGGAAGACTCACACCAATCAAATGCGATGAAGGCGCATGGGTGTCATGGGAAGACCTGTTAGGTGATAACGCAGTTTGGGAAGACGGTTATCACTATGGCAACATTGACATCGTGACCAAGAAGGCGCGTTTGGAGAAGTACTTCGACCAGAACTATGAGTGTTTCCGCATAACCAAGAGGATCAGATTCCAGATGTTGGCGGTCCGCGTTCACCCTGATGAACTCAATGATCCTGATGACCCGATGGAGAAGGAATGGATTGACGAACTCAAGGGCATGGGAATCTCCAAAGGAAGACTCCACCATAGCGATGGATGGTGCTTTCCCGTGGCCGTAAGAGCAACCTCAGCACACTCATCGGACGGCGGAGGTTACGACGTTACCATCAACATCGACCACATTGGATCGAGAATGACCAACGACATGGCCCTATCCATGGTGACTGCATTTCACGCTACCAATCTTGGAGCGCTGACTTCAATCATGCGACGGGGGCTAGTGCCAGGAGGTCTCGGTTCATCGGGAAGGGATTCTATCCACTTCACATGTTTTCCGCCATGGGCCTGGGAGCAGGGCTACAAGGGAAAACCTTGGCTGGGTCGCAAGGTTGCATTGAGTGATCGCCCAGTGGTTCTCTACATTCCGGTGTGGAAGCTGCAGGAGTACGGGCTTCTCATCTCAGCGACTGGATCTCTATTGGTTGAGGACGTCGTTCCCTTCGATGAGGTTAAAGGGGCATGGTTGCAATGCGACAATGCAGAACCCGGACAGCCTGAGGAGATCGAATGGATCAGGTTACTCAATAGAGAACCCGACCCTGGAAGCTACCTTGTTCTGGAGTCCAAATACGGAAACCCGATCATGACTCCACGCTACCAAAAGCTTGAGAGTTTAGCGGTTGAGGTCCAGGACGATACCTACTCCGAGGACGATGCCAAAATCTCAAAGCTGTTGGGTGTGATCGAGGAGAGTGGTGTCTACCCAGAGTATGATAGCACCGAGTGGCAGGAAATCTTTGAGGAGATCGTGTACCGCCGGGCAATGAAAGACTATGACTCAAGACCGTGTCCCAACTGTCTTGGCGAAGTCGATGTGCGATTGACGATATGTCCGCACTGCGTAGCGGTTTTGATCGCGAATGGGAAGCTCACGCACGTGGTACCCAAGGAGACAAGGGACCGCAACCAACGATCACCTCCGAGAGATGTCCCAGCCAGTTCTTCCGGTGAAGCAACTTCTGCTGCAGGTGCAAACATTGATGAAGTCATCAAGAACGCACGCAAGACAGCCGAAGAAGTCATTGACGTCGAGGAATCCGAAGGAGAGGAGGACGAGGAAGTTCCTATCATTTTGAAGGAACGACCGGACGAAGCTGAAGGCGAACCCGAATACCGGGAGGTCCCTCAAGATGGATACGGGAATGAACTTCCACAGCCTTTCCCCTTCGCAATTGACGAATTGCCGCAAGAAGCTGCGATCCCCATCGACCACAACTTTGCAGTCACACAGCAATTTGATCTGAGGTTGATGAAGTTGATCAAGAGCTTGGCCAACGCAACGTTCGACATCAATTGCTTTGAGAGTCGTGAAGACGTACTGCGAAAGTTCGACGATGGACAGCGGCATGACACTCCATACAATAAATGGCCAATAGTACCGAATGATCCGGATACTGGGTTTCCAAGACGCCTTCAGAGAGCCGAGGTCGTAGGCATGAGCAAATGGACCAACGACACGTATGCAACAGAAGCGTGGCAGATCTATGAATTCCACGCCCACGTTATTCACCCGATGATGATCACTGCAATCCGCTGCGGGCTTAGCCACAAGTACCTCAAAGAGGTCGGCAGCACTCGGCGTAACATGAGTGATCCAAAGGCTCGAAGATCTGAGACCCAGGAAGAGATCATCGAGAAGTTGGCATTCATCTCAAATTTCATCAGACGCTTGATCAGGAAGACCTTCGGAGCGAGCCGGTATAGTTACTACCAGAAACCAGATGACGAAAGTGCCGCTCCATACAAATTCATCGACATTAGCCCCGCCATCAAATCGGAGCGGAAGAATGTCACAAAGGAGATCCTCGTTGCGTGCCGCTACTATGGCATAGAGGTATCCGATGTTCAAGCACAGAAATTGAAGCTCTTTGAGGAGCAGATCCGAAGGGGAAACCCAAGGAACGTTGAGCTCATCAAGGACTACATTGGCTTTGTCGGAGCTGACTACATGCGACAACTCACGAATGGTTGAGCATTGGGGTCACACCGACATACTACTTCCGGTACTTCAAGTACTGAGGGATCTTGGGTAATTCATGATGACCGTTTTGGCATCATGGGAGTGAGATAGGATTGTGTTTCACACCGTTGGTAATCGCATGATACCACAGGTAGACGCACGTTTTCCGTTTGTAGCTCCATTACCTGTTTGATCCAACTTTCAAGCGAATGCAAGATCGTTTGCTAATTCAGTTTAATAGGACATACTGGTTGACCTCCAATGCACTTTTGAGAACATGATTCGCTCTCCGGTTTTTACATCCACTCATCTCCCTTCCCCGTCGAAGCACGGATGTGGGGGGTGTCAATAGGGATGAGGTCCCAGTATAGTTGCTATACAGGTACATGCCATATACCATTTTGGCTCAAGTGCCCAACCAGGTAAAAAGGAGCTTTAGCGCGCGAACTTCATGTTGAACTAAGGGCTAGAACGGGGCCAGGGCACACCTTTCCATCCGTTCGCAATATTTATATACTCACATACATAAACAAGTGAAATTAGAGCTGTCTATGGAAGTATGCCACAGCATTTGGGAGTGCTCTTTTGCTGCATTTCCTCCCAAGCCATGAGGTCCAGCCATGGAAAACCGAACCGTTCGCTTTGCGTCCCCATCGTTCCACCCGTCCGAGGTGCGAAAGCGGGGAGCTCAGCATCTTGAGAGTCTTGCCACATGAGAAGGTGGAGAGCAACGGTGTTACAACACATTAACGCTCGAATTCCTTCTGGATCCGGTTGGTGCATCTAAAAAAAGGCAATCTTCTGAGGTTGGCCTGGCCCATGGTCAACATGCCCGCTGACTCCATGTCGGCCCTGAACCGGAGCAAGAGCTTGGCCAGTAGCGTCAGTAGTGTTAGCAGTGTGGGCAACCCATTCTGAGATTGAGAGAGGATGAATTCCAGACATTTTACAATTCCACTGTAAGCCTCAGATCAGCAGAATTCATCAGAATTCAATCATTTTCTTCAGCTGAAGCCTTCCAGGCCTCTTGAACGATCGCTCCAACAATTCTAGGATCCTGTTATTTTTGCACACCAGATTCAATCGTAGCCTGCTACACAAGCATCCACCCAACGTTGAATCAAGTTCAGAAGCAAGCGTGAATTGATCTGGAACTTAGAAGTTTCCTCAATCGACTTCCCTTGATCATAGGCTCGAGATAAGTAGCATTCTCATGCTTCTCTACAAGAATCCGGAATGTGGTTGGCCATTGCAGGCTTGAGGTACTTCCTCACGTTATGCTCTGCCGAGCGGAGTTTGTAAAGAGCTTGTGTTTGTCCGGATCGCCAAAGGCAGATGTCGGAGGATTGCAGCGGGAAAACGGTGTATTTGCTGGATGCCCCTGGAGTTTCAGGTGGCTCTCGAGTCCACCGGTTCTTTTCAGGACACAGCACTCAGGTGGTTAAACATGTGAAGCAGGACCTCATCAGGAGTGGAACATGGATCCCTCACTTGATCTACATGGGCCGACAACAGAGGTTTTGCAGTTTTTTTTGTTAGTTTTTCCAGGTTGCAGGAGCCTCTTTGTGTAAAAGCCTTTAAATTACCCGCCTTCTTTCCGTGATGCACCGCCCGCAGGTGGACCGGCCTCGGAATTCGACGATGCGCTTCGTTCCGGCGAAAAGCGGCGGCTGCACTGCTTGGGGATCGCGGCAATTCGGCGCTTCTGGCATATACCGGAGAAGAGGCTGCACGCCTGAACTCATTACGCAAATAGTTTGAAGGGATCCCCAGGGGTCACTAATCCAGAAGATAGTTGACTGGATGAGGCCAGAGAATCAATGCAAGACACAAGCAAATCGGCTCTGTGCCGTGAAGTCAGAGCACCATGAGAAATTGTCCCCAACATTCGTTTACACCCTCATCAATTCCTTCTTTCTGGCATTATCTGCCTTTGTGCCATGAAATGATGGGATTCGGGATCGTGACCCTCCCACTTCTTGGCTTGCTGCTTACATTTTGTTCTTTCATGTACATTGACTACCACAGGATTTCTTTTTTTTGGCCTTCAACTATCCCCTTGGTCCACTGGTTTGTGGTACAGTGTTCGGCCGTAGCACCACTAGCCAAACCGCCGGCGGCGCGGCGAGGGCAGCTGGTGGCGGGGGACTCCGAGCAGTCTCAATTTTGACCGGAGTTTGGGAAGTTTGATGAATGGTAGGAGCAATCGGACGCTACGTTCGGGGCTCCTGGCATCGCTACGAACGGAACGACGCTACTAGTAGCTCCTGGCCTTGCTAGCAAGAAGCTAGTAGGTCCCAAGGTCGGAAACATGCATGTCTAAGTAACTGTGATGAAAGGAGATATGAGATCTATTGCGCCGGCCTTGTTTGATCCACCAGTCCAGTTTTGGTGTGGCAAGGCAGAATGAGGGGACCATGTAAAGCATACCCAGTGGCAAGCCGCCGTCAGGCCATGTCTGCGGGCTTCTTTCGGGGAACAAATACCGATCAGGCGGGCACATCGCACGATGTGAGCCAGCCTCCAGTTGCCAAAGTTTGAAGGAAGACGTGAAAACAATGCAAGAAGCAACCCTTGTTACACAATTCTCAGCTCACCATGTGAGTCAACATGGTCTCGGAGGTGAAACATGTCAATGCCGAGCAGAAGATCATCAAGGACATGGAAAAGAACAAGCGCTTCCCTGACCACTACTCGAAGAAAGTGGACATGGCGAAGGCCGCTTGTTGAACACCGGGTCTCGTGGTCCTCGAACGAGTGTTCCCGAAGAAGACTTATTTCTTCTGAACGATGCAGGTCTCCATGGATGTCATGAAGCCATGGATTGCCAAGCGCATCACAGAGATGCTGGGCTTCGAGGATGACATCGTCGTAGAGTTGGGCCCTCAGATGTGGAGGGTAGATGAATGTTGAATGCTTGTCTACAAGATGAGGAAGAGCAATTAATCAGTTCCTTTCAACAAACACTAGTCACTAGAGGAGTAGCTTGAGTGAAGACTTCGCATTTGGACTTTCCTGTTCGGGACGCTGTGGTCTGTAGTACCGGCATACATGCCCACATTTAGAATGCCATCCTAGGAGGCCATCGCTTCTAATTACTCATACTCCAGGATCCCAGTGATTTTCCTTTTGAGTTCGTTCCCACCAGCCGCCGCAGCTTCTGTGTGGCGCAGCTGTCCGAGCCGCCAGACAAGGGCTTAGACCCCAAGCTGCTGCAGGCGAAGATGGTGAGGTTTTTGTTGCTCACTATTTTTGATTTCATTGATTTTCTTATTATGCTTTCCGTACGAAGTCCGCAGTCTCCTGCCCCTTTTCTTGGCAACATTCTCATCGGCAGGTGAATATGACAGGCTTCATGGAGCGCAAGGTGGCTTTTCGGAAGGGAGACAGTGGCTTTTCTTTGTTTTTCTCTTTGAGTGCTGGTCGAAAGAGACCCATGGTCCAACCATGGTGGGTGAACATGGTGATTGGTAGACAGGTGAACTGGTGGGTCGCTGGGGTAGACGACCGGGATTGGCGGGGTTTGACCTACAGAAAGAAAACGACTCTTCGGGCCTCAAAAATCAATTGGTCGTTCTGTCTACTAGGGCCTTACATCAGGTGCAGTTGTGAACATGGAGAGGTTTCTATTGGCCTTTGATACAGTTGATCATGCTGATTTGTTTTCTTAATCCAGGACAAATCATTCTGGATTTCACACCCCCTCTGTTTCTTCTACATCACCCCCTCCGACCCATTTTGGGGCAAGGCTGGCCCCTTCGTCTCGGAGCTTTGGCAGCATTTGCTCTCTGCGCAGGCGGGGAACGGTGACACCTGGTGACCAGTCGGTGACCCACTGGTGTCGGGTGCCAAGACGTGCGATGCCAGGAGAGTCCGGTTGGAGTGCCCCGAGAATTTATCGACCAAAAGAAGGCAGGGATGGCGGACGTTTTGGGCACCTGAAAAGGTCATGTCTTGTGTATCCTTCAGGAAGAGCTCCAGAAGAAGAAGGAGGAAGCCGAGAAAGTGCAAGAGGAGTTGAAGAGAAGAAAGCCAGTCACTTAGAAAGTTGTCTTGGTCTTTTCTTTGCATGGGAAAGCCTCACCAGAAAGCGCTCCACCAGGTTCCTTTTGAAGAAACCTTTGACTCAATTCCAAGACATGCACCTTAGACGTGTATACATACACCAGATTTACGCATGCAATACATCACGGCCAACGGCCAACGGTTCACAGTTTTAGGCTTCGATCTCGGCACGATTTTGCTCTTAGCGCCATGATCGTGGACATCGGGGCGTTGACTCTTGCATCCTTAAAGGCTGTTGGGAGCATCGCAGTTATGGCCTTTGGTGGCCTGTTCATGACACGTCTGGGCATCATCACCAATGATGTGAGGAAAGGCTTGGGCGAGCTGTCCATGAACCTCTTGCTGCCCTGCCTGATGTTCAGCCAGGTGATTTACTGCAACAATGCTCAGATGAAGGTGGACCATGCTTGTCCCAACATGGCGCAGGTGATCCTCTCCTCAGCAGACCTGTTCTTTTGGCCGCTGGTGGTGGTGGGCTGTGGCTACTTTTTGGGCTTCCTGGCGGCCAAGATCATGCGGGTGCCAGAGAACTTCCGCCGGGCCGCTGCAGGTTCGGTGGCCTTCGGGAATTCAACCGGAATGCCGGTGGTGCTGCTCTCCACTTTGGCCCCCTCCCTGGTGGCTGAAGGAGTGGTCAATGGAGATCCCCTGCTCTTCCTGCCGGTGTATTTGGTGCTTTCTCCCTTGCTGCAGTGGACCGTCGGCTCCTTGATCTTCCGCCGCCCCACCGAGAAGAGCCTCACCGGTGATGTCGAGGCGGCCGAGAGTCCCACCGAGAGCCCCGCGGCCGAGTACCCGTCGGACCCGGACTTCTCGCGCGCTCGCACGGCGTGCGTGCTGCGGGATCCGCCGGTATCGTCTCAGCGGGATCGGCCTCGCTTGCGCACCGTGGGGATGTTACCACCACTGGAGGTGGGCCCTGGCTTCACAGCCTGCGGAGAGCTGGAGGATGTCCTCACCCCGGAAGATGTGCAGATGCCCCACTGCGACAAATGTGGTGCAATGCTGAAGCATGTTCTCTTTATGTTCCTGTCGCCACCAGTGGCAGCTACGCTTCTGGGGATCCTGGTCGCCTTCATTCGGCCCTTGCAGAACCAATTCATCAATCTCAACGACTGGAGCTTGCCATCTGAGCGCGGTTTGGATTGGTTGTACAGTGCCATCCGCACTTTGGGGCAGGCTGCTGTGCCTGTGAACCTCATCATGTTAGGCTCCAACTTGTCGAAGGGTGCTGACTTCAGTGCGTTGCCCGTCAGCACTGCCGTGGTTCTAACACTCACGAAGATGTTGATCCAGCCTGCGGCCATCGCTGGCCTGGTTTTCCTGGTCGTTCGCTTGGTCCCTGGACCTGTCGTCACCGGCAAGTGGCTGGTGGCCATTGTGGTCTCTCTGACGCCCACGGCCAACAACATCATGGTACAGGTAGAAGTTGGCGGCCAGGACAAGGCGGCGATGAGCACCCTCATTTTCATTCAATATTTGATGTCACCTGTGTTGCTCACCATCTCGCTGACCGCCACCAGTGCTTTGATGCAGATGCATGGCTCATGGGATCTCATGGATGAGCTGAGCAGCTGCCCATCCAAAACGAGGCACGCAACGCAGAATTTTCGCCATCCCGACTGCCAAGCTCTGCGGATCCGGGGACTTGGCTCGGCCTTGGCATGCATGATTCTTCGAGCTGGCCACTGTAAAGGGAATTGGAAGTTTTCTGTGGGCGGATGAGGTCTGGATCCTCATCCAGCATCCAGAGCTTCCACTCAAGTGCTAGCTGGTGCACAGTACAGACGAGATTCGCTCGCTTTTGTTTGTGCCCATTTTTTGGTTGGCTTCTGAATATATTTTTGCGCCTCCTAGTACTCCCCAGCTGTACAGAGCAATTGTGATCAAGAAGCAGCCATCTCAGTTGCGCGCTGCGCTGTGGACCCCAACAGAGGTTCTGATACAGTGTTTAGTGTGACGGAGTTGCCAATGGCCACTAAAAGTCAGTTCCAGGCATTGACATGTTGTCTGACTCCCTTCCAAAAAGGACAGCAGTGCGGCAGTTCGTTGGAAAGAACGTCGTTGTCTTTTTCTCGATTCTCCTCCGCGACCCTCTCAAAAAGAAACAGCAAACCTGATGTGCGGTTGAGATTTGTGGTTTTGGATCAGAGACCATAGGTCCATAGGTAACAGGCACTTGACTACCTCATCTCAATTAATAATTGCATTGGAGTTGGTGTGTGTTATTTAGAAGACGGACTCGCAATTCGGGACATCCACCAGGCAAGACCTAGAGGAGGCCGAGCGGCAAGCACGTGGCATCCGAGACCAAGAGCGCGACCGGCGGAAATCCCCGCGGCGCTCACGGTCCAAGCAGGCACCCAGTGAGACGATGCTGACAGGTTTGGAGACACAAGCCAAGGTGACATGGTGCCAGTTCCAACCTTTGTCTACTTGATTTCGGCAGTCTTGCATGTTTTTGGATTGGCACTTTGTAGTTTTTTAGAGGCGCACACCAACTGCACAAAACTCTCGTGGCCCAGACGTTGAAGATGATGAGATGCATTCATGGCTTGGAATGGATTCCCTCCACGTCATTCCATGTCCACATTTTGAGTGCGAAGAGTGTGTCCTCTGCAAAGCATCTTGGAAGGTCCGAGACTCTTCGGAGCATCAAGACATATCAAGACAACACGGTTTGTTCCGCTTCGCATCACAGTTGTGGGTGTAGCCGTACAGTGTAGCCAGGCTGACTCTGGCCGGCGTAGGCAGGGTGGCAGAGCAATGCGTCCTGAGACCCGAAGTGCATGTTGGCGACCGGGAAACAACCACTACGCTCGTTGTCAAAGTCCGCTGGCATTTTCTTCAACATTATATATATATATATAATGGCAAAATAAGACCAATGGCCTATTAGGCTTTTCATGGAAAGAGCGTCAACAGGCACTTCACAGTTTTTTGGATGTTTTGGAAACATGTTCTTTTTTTTTCTGTATTCCTTCTCCTCGAACCTCTTCGCATGGCACCAGGGACGATGACCGCCGCCGCGATGACCGCCGCGACGACCGGCGGGACGATCGCCGGCGAGATGATCGCCGGGATCGGGACGACCGGCGGCGAGAGGAGCGGGGTAGATGGTGAGTCATTGGTAGAGGCCAAACGAAAAGGATTGCAAAGCCTGCAGCCATTTGTAGCCACAAGTGTACATCATGTGGATGTTGGAATATGATTGCCAGTAGTTAGAGGTGAGGTTTTTGGAGATATAGGTGACAGTTGACAGGTGTTAGCCGAGTTTCTTGCAGACTTTGTCCGCCAGGATCGAAGGCGGCGAGATAAGTCTGAGTGCGAAAGCCCAGATTTCGTCCGCAACATGACCCGTTGTCAACGGATGACAAATGAAGCGCGGGACCTTCCACTTAAGTTAGCTTTGAGAGATTCGATTGGGGGAAACCGCCAGTATAGTTCGGGATGATTCAGAGAGTTGGAACATTTGTACATGAGTCATAGCCACCATGACCGATACCCTTTTTTTCACTCGAACCGGATCGACAGGGATCCCTTGGCCGCTAGCTGAAAAGTCTCCGCTTGTTTGGTAGCGGAGCCCTGCTTCGGCGGGGCTCCGAGCGCCATAGGCTGCCGGCGCTGGCTTCCAGCGCGCCTGCCGTGACCGCAGGCCACCTTTGCGTTGCTTCAGGTGACACCACGACGACCCTCACCTTCCTGATCAACGTGTGTATCACGGCGCTCTTGGCGCTCCTTGTCTCTCCCTCCTGCTGGCTGATAGCAGGAGCACCACCGCCTGTTGAGCTCGCTCCAGGTTCTTTTTTCAAGCTGCGAGTCCCGACCTACCCGATCCAGGACCTCAAGAGTGTGATCGTCGAGCTCGACTACAAGACTACACCTCCAGGATATCTCCCTGAGCTCATCGATTACAAGGTCCCTGTCGAGGAGAATCGGTCCTACGCCCATCCTACATCAGTGATGGCGGCTACAAGCTCGACCTTGCAGTCCGGCATTCCATTGACGGAGTACCGGAGAGACTGCCCGCCCGGTTGGGCTCCTGGCCTGCCGGACTACCCGCTTCGAATGTTCTTTGAGAAACTGAAGCTGTGGTACAGGATCTATGAAGGCCCCGATGAATCAGTGGGCCCTCTGGTGGCAGGACGATTGCAAGGACGAGCCCAAAAGATTGCCATGAATCTTCGTGTCATCCGCCCTGATGGGAACTATGATGTTGGTGACAGCGCTCTTGTCCGACTCACCGTGGACGAAGTTCGCGATCCTATGGATCCCAATGTGGTTTTGCAACCTCACATACCGAGCGGAGTCTCCGTGCTGGCTTCCGCCCTACGGGAAGCATTCGGTCAGAGTGACCAGGAGCTCACGACTTCCGCCTTGGAGGCCTTCTTTGAGCTCCGACGTGGAAAGCTTTCGTTCCAGGAGTACTCCGCCGAATGGGATCTTCGCTATGAGGAAGCACAAATGAGGGCTGGCCTTGATGTCAACGACGTCGCCAAGACCTACCTCTTCTTCCGCCACAGTGGACTTCCTTCCAAGTTCGTGGAGGACGTGAAACTCCAGATTCACGGAGACATGAGTCGCTTTGCTGAAGCTCGACGACTTGCTCTCCGTCTGAGCAGTCGCAGTGAGAATCAGTCACTGTCTCACGACCTCTATGCCGAGCATCAGCACACCAACGACCATGCCGAGAACTACCAGACTGACTATGATCCGTGGGGTGCATGGTATGGCACTGAGCAGGACTGGACGTACTATGATGAATGGAGCTCAGAGCCATGGTACGATGATCCATGGTATGATGGCCCTACAGAAGAAGTCTGGTATGACGCCGCTGAGCACAGTTCTCCGGATTGGCACAGCACTGCTGAAGAATATGACATGGCTGCAGATGACCTCGAGAACTCCGAGGACTACTACCAGGGCTCCAATGACGGTTGCTTCATTTGTGGCTCTCGTTACCATCGTGCAGCTCAATGTCCAGCCAATCACGGAGGAAAAGGCAAGGGCAAAGACAAGTTCGGAAAAGGCAAGAAGGGCAAAGGCAAAGGAAAAGGGAAGAAAGGCTTCCGATCCAAGGGCAAAGGCAAAAGCAAGTACAAGGGCTACTATGATGACTTCCAGGACTACACCACCTATCGTCGTCAGCCCGACTATGGTTTGTCTCTGGAAGCTCAATCGCCCACGAGCAATCGCACTGACAAGACACAGCAGTTGGTGCAAACCACTCCACCACGCAAGGAGGAGATCTTTGCCTGGCGAGGCCCGCCTGCTGAGACAACGACTGCAGAGACAACAACAACAGAAGCAGCAGAGCAGTCACGGAAGCACCTTTCCTTTGCCACCACTTTGCACACGAACCACTGCACCTACCATACGGTGCGAGGACAGAAACGACGTGGCCTTCTGATCGATCCAGGTGCCGCTGCAGGCTTGGTTGGCAGTGAAACGCTAAGAGATCTTCTCGATCACTGCTATCCGAATGCCAAGAACGAGACAATCTCATGGTCCAATTCCACCGCCACCATCACAGGCATCAGCGGCTGTCCAGATCGAGCCATTGGACGTGTGCACCTCAAGCTTCCGTTCAAGGGCCTGGATGCTACCTACACGGCCGACGTGATAGGCAAGGAAGGCTCACTCTGCCCAGCCTTGGTTGGCAATCCGGCACTTTGCGAAATGAAGGCATCATTGCATTCGTGTTGGTTTGACAACAACGACGGCCTCTTGGTGACCTGGACGTCCACCTCTCAGAGTTCGACCATGGCAGACATTCACCTCTTCAGGTGTCTGCTGACAGATTCTGGTCATTATCTTCTGCCTTTGGATGATCAAGCAGCCGCAGTACATGAACCACAACATGATGTATGCCACTTCATTCGGCAGATCTCTGAGATGTCCAAAGCTCATTGGCCAGATCATTCCTACACGTTCTGGCAACAGGTCACCCAGGCAGCAGCAGACCCAGGACAGAAGTGGAGGTCCGCAGAGCCGACATCTTCATGTACTACGACAGTTGAGCCTGCGGATACAACACAAAAGAAAGAAGTGTCCTTTGCCGAACCTCTTCATGAAGTCCGTCAACTGCCCGATGATTCCGCACCAGAAGAGGCTCCAAAAGAGGAGCGTGTGAAAAGTGAAGAAGTGCGTGTGATAAGTGAAGATTTTCCGAGACCAGCAACAGAAGAGATCCAATCCTCCGACCTCACTGAGGAGATCTTTGCCACGAACCTGAGTGATTTGCCTCTCTACACTCAGGATGAATATCCAGCACATCTGAGAGCTGAAGAATGCCAACGACTGAACAAGGACTACAAAGCAACGCCTGAGGAGTTCTACGTGAAGTCAGGACGACGAGTGGTCTCTCCATCCACCTTTCCACGATGGATCAAAGAGGCAAAGCGCAACAAGACTAAGTGGCATGGCTGGGAACTATGTTCAGGTTCTGGACGCTTCACATTGCTATGCGTGCTTTCTGGCCTATCCATGGGCTTTCCTGTTGACTTCAGGTATGGCTGGGATCTTGGCCTACCAGAGCACCAGAAGATGCTTGATGAAGCCTACGATGTCTGTCGCCCAGACTTCCTCATGTGCACTCCTCGATGCAAGTTCTACAGCATCTCCTCATCCAGGCGAGACAGACGAGATCTTCTACGAGATCGTGAGAAAGAGAGACCAGCACTGGTCTACATGCAGAACAAGCTGGCCCAGCAAGTTCAGAGAAAGAAGTACTATGTGCTGGAGCAACCATGGAGTTCAGCTATGTGGACAGAAAGTGTGATGATCCACAACCAGCAGTTCCATGGATACCGGAAAGCAAAGAGGACAGATCAGTGCGCCTTTGGAGCATGTGATGAACATCGACAACCTGTGCTCAAAGCCACCGGCCTTGAGGCCAACTTCAAGCTGAGAGTAGCTGTTCGCCGATGCAATGGCCATCGAGGAGTTCCACACACACCTCTTCAAGGCCAACACAACGGCATCAATCGAACAGCAATGGCAGCAGTTTACCCTCAGCGCTTTTGCAAAGCACTCATTGAGGACGTCGTCCACACCATTGCTCCACATGGTGGCCTTCGCCCCAAGATCCTGCACAGCTTGGCTCAGACAGCAATCTACTACAAGTGTGAGCGCTGCGAGTTGGGACGAGCTGCTCTTCCTGGAACAGAACACACCTACATTCCAGGAGAATGTCGTTATGGAAGAAAGCTGGAGAAGATGGCAACTGCAGCTCCCTCGACACCGTCTATGGCATCGTCCCCTTTGGAAGACTTCAAGAGAGCCGCACGCTCGCATGCAAATGCCAAGGCAGTCACTTTGACAGCGCCTGCTGATTACAACTTGTCTCCTGAAGATCAAGTACATCTCAAATACTTGCTGTGCAAGATCGTGGAGGACAGCATGTCCGTCTTTGAAGCTGCCGGTGGAAAAGAATATCACTACTGGCTCACTGATCCATCTCTGATGATGGCGGCCAAACACCACCTCAGAAAGATCCTCTACGTCTTCGGAGTCCACGTGGTGCTTCACCCATTTGCCAAACCATTTCCAGAGCCTCATCTCTCTGCAGAACAAGCGCCACTACGATTGATTTGCCGGGGAACCTATGAATCATGGCAGGTTCATTCCATCGAGGATTTGAGAGAACTCTCAGCCTCACAGCAAAGGGAGGCCATCGAAGAAGAGAATTGGCTGATCGCATTTTTCGGCAGCTACGATCCTCCAGCATCCGCAAAAGGGGCGCCTCAGACTCCATCTGGGACATCTGCACCGATGACACCAATGCCACAAGCTGCCTCAGAATCACAGGCCATCGTTCCACGACAACCAGCTGAAGATCCTGCACAGCCATCCTCATCTACAGCCATGATGCCCTATGAAGGAGTCGATACAACAGCCATCGAGCTCAGAAGTATGAAGCCTCTCTACAGCATTCGACGTGTCCTTCATCGACTACCTCAAGAGATCAAGAAAGACACAGTGGCAGCTCGACGCCTCCTTCTTGGGCTACATGAAAAGATGTGGCATGCCAACGCCACGGATTTCTCCAACCTGCTCCTCAGAGCAGGGATGCCTCCTGAAGTAGTGCAAATGGCTCATGAAGCAGTGGCATCATGCCCTATCTGTCGACGATATGCACGACTACCAGCCAAGCCAAAGACCAAGGTCTCATTGGCAGCACACTTCGGCGATGAAGTGGAGATGGACATCTTCTACTTGTGGTCAAAGCCCTTTGTTCTCCTCATCGATGTGGCTACACGCTACAAGGTGGCGTACCACACCAAGTCACGGGAGACAGAAGAACTGCTGCGTGGATTGCTCCA